GTGTGTGTGTGTCTCACCTTGTCAGCAGGAGTGAGTGTGTAGATGAAGGTGTGTGTGTGTGTGTGTGTGTGTGTGTGTGTGTGTGTGTGTGTGTGTGTGTGTGTGTGTGTGTGTGTGTGTGGAGATGGTGTCTCTGGTTGTTAATCACTTTGGATGCTTGTTTCCTCTGTGTCTGTGCAGGGGGATGACTGAAGGCATCACCCTGCTGATCCTCGCTGTCCAGACCGGCCTCATCGAGCTTCAGGTCATCCACCGAGCCTTCCTCCTCTCCATCATCCTCTTCATTGTTGTTGCTTCTATCTTGCAGTCCATGCTGGAGATAGCTGACCCCATAGTCCTGGCCCTGGGAGCATCAAGAGACAAGTAACATACATTTACCATACTTTTTTGGTTTCCTTAAATGATTGATTATCTCTGCCATAGATCATTCTCCTTCTTAAACGAATGGTCCCATGTTTTTCAAAATGGATCGAATAATTCCTAGTACCAGCGTAACCCGTCTGATTCATTTTATTATTTCCCAAGATGTAAGAAATGCTTTTAGAGAATGAAGAAAGGACCACTCAATGAATGTGAAGCCCCATGTTGGTACAGATGGAGCTGATGCTTTCTCTTTGCTCCCTCCTCCGTCTGTACTTTAGGAGTTTGTGGAAGCACTTCAGAGCAGTGTCTCTGTGTCTCTTCCTGCTCATCTTCCCAGCCTACATGGCCTATATGATCTGTCAGTTCTTCCACATGGACTTCTGGCTACTGATCATCATCTCCTCCTCCATCCTCACATCACTGCAGGTAACGCACAAGCGGACACACACAGAGAATGCACTATTGGAAGGGACTCAAAAACCTCTTTTAAGCAGAAGAGGTGTAAGTGTACTTCTCTAGTCTCCATTTATAGAGAAGGAATGTAATAGAAATCCTGTCCTATTTAACTCACTGTGCCTGAGGTGCCCTAACCATCTGTACTTTGTGATTAATTATTGAATTGAATAACATCACATCTCTCCTCCGTCACCCCCAGGTCCTCGGCACTCTGCTGATCTACATTCTCTTCATGGTGGAGGAGATTCAAAAAGCTCCAGTCGAGAACATGGATGAAGTCATCTACATTGTCAACGGGACGTACAGACTGCTGGAGTTCCTGGTGAGAGAGACACACACACACACACACACACACACACACACACACACACACACACTAGAAGACAACATGGGAGAAAGGCAGCAGCGATGTTGACAAATATATATCTATGGCATGTTGCTGATTATCTCTTCTGCCAGGTCGCGGTGTGTGTGGTGTGCTACGGCGTGTCAGAGACGGTGTTTGGCGAGTGGAGTGTGATGGGCAGCACCATCATCCTGGTCCACTCGTATTATAACGTCTGGCTCAGAGCACAGCTGGGCTGGCAGAGCTTCCTGCTCAGGAGAGACGCTGTGAACAAGATCAAAAGCCTCCCCACGGCCAGCAAGACACAGCTGGAGCAGTACAACGACATCTGTGCTATCTGCTACCAGGTAGGAACTGGCTTTCTGTGCTTGTGTTTCCTTAAAGCCAGTACAGGGCTATAAATGCATTTCAGGCTTCTTTAAGGATTGAGCGCAGAGAGAGCGAGTTAGAGAGCTAATGAAGAGCGGGACCGGTGTTGACATGAAATAGGCAGTGAACCGGAATAATGATTGTTTCAGGGCAGTTCTAAAGCGCTCCAGCCTGCTCTTATTGGATATGGGATACACGCCCACTGCCCAAAGTCTGACACCCATAAAGGTGCCACGCATAGTAACAATAAACTACTGGCCTGAGGGGGGTGCAGACACAGACCCTGCTGCACACTTTTAGTCAGCATAACTGCTGATTATGTTTGCATGAGTCCTCACGTTGCCTGCATAGATTTAAACATAGGACACAGTGGTTTTAAAATGTTTGAAGAACCTAACAACACAGCTTGTGTGCTCATTTCCTCCAGGACATGAACAATGCAGTGATCACTCCATGCAGTCATTTCTTCCACGCTGGCTGTCTGAAGAAATGGCTTTATGTCCAGGAGACGTGCCCCCTCTGCCACTCGCAGCTCAAGAGCCTACCAGCAGCCCCCAACCAAGAAGCCCCTGCAGCCAATCAGATCCCTGCAGCCAATCAGATCCCTGCAGAGCAGGAAGAAGCGCCTAAAAACCAGACAGATGACTCTCTTGTAGATGGTGGGAAGGAGGAGGGAACAGGAGAGCAGGAGGGAGGCAGTGAAGCAGCAGCAGCCTCCTCCTCCTCCTCCTCCTCCTCCTCCTCCTGTGGTGTGCCCTCCACTTCACAGCACCTGGCCAAGACTCCTTCATCATCTTCTTCCTCTCTTTCCTCATCGGCACTTGTGACTGAATCACAGAAGCAGTTGCTCACAGATCATCTTTCTTCGTCTTCCTCGTCTTCTTCTAACACATTGGACATGACCCCATCTCTCTCTCACACCCCTCCCTCACAACCAGCGGCCCAGACAGAGGAGAGCCCTGCTGAGCCCGAGCCCGCCCCTCACCTAAACACAGGCTTCCTATTGGACAGTCTGGAGTCATCTGCTCGTCACACATCAGAGCTTGACCAGCCCTCTTCCTCTTCTGAAGGACAGTCGCCTCCTCTTTGCAGCCTCTGAGCCCTGGTGTCTCACACACACACACACACACACACACACACACACACACACACACACACACACACACACCTGCATGCACATGTAAACACACAATCTTAATACTCCCATCTGCCTATATTCTACTTATCACATCATGTCAGAAATTGAACTCCAAGCCCCTCCATTTTATAACAGAATATTCAAAAACCATCTAAGCTGACATTCATCACTCGGCATTGAAAGAAACACAGATGATGACAAGATGTTGCCATTTCTTCGGCAATGGTCGTGGAACAGTCTATCCAAATGTATTTCCATGAAGAGTTTAACTTTCATGCCAGCAATGATTTCATTTTCCATTCAACACAAAAAAGGGGAATGAAGTTATCTCATCCCTGAAAGAATTAGTAGTTTGACATTATGTCCACGAAATGTGAAATCCTGAATGAAACTGAAGAACCACATCACAGCTTTTTACTTTGATATCAGTCCTAAAATGATGCTTTATGTCCTTCCCATTTCACGTGGTGGGTGCTCCCATCATGCCTTTGTTTGTGCAGCTTCTCTTTCAAGGCTGTGCTTCTCCTAGTATTTGGGTTTTCTTTGGAGTCCTGTATGTGCCATGATCTAACGAGGAACGGTTTGTAGGTTTAGAGAGCCTTGAGAGGCCAGAGAAAACCGATGGTTGCATTATAAACAGTGACAAAGTCATAATGTTCATAAAGTCTATAGATTTCTCCGTCGGTTCCATAAAGATATTTGGTTTTCGCTGTTGGAGGATAGCAGTGTACGAGTGAATACACTGACTGAATGTTGTTGATCACATGACCTGAAGCCCGGTGCTAAGCAGAGCACCGGGCATGGCGTGGTCTATTTAAGTGTTACAGTGAACAAATCAAAGGGTTCACATGTGGACGAACTAATTCATTTCACTTGTCAAGCTTTCTTTCTCTCTCTCTCTCTTCTACTGCTTCAATATTTGAATCAAACTTGTTTGGCTGGTCCCAGCAAAAAAAAAAATCGCCAAAACTTTTGTATAACTGTTAAAAAGATGTTATTTTTGAGATAACTTTTACATTACTGCTTTATTGGACAGCCCACAGTGCAGACGGACTGAAAGAAGGGAGAGAAAGACAGAGGGAGATGACACACGACAGAAACCACTGTTTAGCTGAGAATGTGGCGGGAATATAATCCCCTCGATGTCTTTACTTCACGGTACTCATCCGCACTCATCTCCCTGGGCTCAGCTCATTTTACATATATATATTTAACCAGTCACATACCTTCCAAAGTTTACCATTGACATGAATTCATGGTAGGAGCCATCACCATTCTCCATTGAGCTCCTTCTTAAACCAATCACATCAAAGCACCCTGTATTTCCTAAAGCCATCACTATCCTGCTGCTTAGTCACTCTGAAATGTTATTACCAGCAAATTGAGCCGTTTGGTAGGAACGCTTTTCCCCCACACGAAGGTACACTCTGACGGCACCTGTGATTAGTAAACGGGGTCGGACGGGATGAAGTGTGTTTGTTTTGAAGAGTCTGAATGAGAGTCTGACACTTGAGAATGAGTCCTGATGCACGCTTGTATGTAGAGCCTGCACGCTGCCACTGTTACCACAGCATTTATTTGGGTCTCATTGTCCTCTAACCTTGCTACCAATGTTTTTTTTTTTCTTGTTTTTGGGGTTGCATTTGCACTAATGTCATTTATTCTAGCAACGCTCCAAAGCTGTTTTTCGGCTGTAAGCAACCAAATACCCTCTGAAGTGTTTGTGTACGAGGAGACAGCCCAATCTGTTTGTGTGTGATGTATATAAATGTTGCTCTGTATAGCATCTATATTAAATCAGAAGAGTGTTGATATATAAATAGGACCAGGGCTGGGTTCCTCCAAAGCTTCCTTGTGGTTTGATGTTCCTGATTACTTGTCACGTCTGTGAACAAAGACAAACTTGTGTGTGTGTGAGAAGCTTTCGAGGAACCCCGCCTCTGATGTGTGTGCCCAGCCAGTGTTGCTGCTTCTCCGCTCTGTATGACGCGTCTTTGAGCTGGTGTGATCACTCTGGTGCCCTCTATTGTTAGGAGTGGGATCAGCATGTCGCTGACGGACAGGAGAAGCACTAGTTAACCCTCAAATGTATTAATTACTACCACTATAACTTACGGTCTTATTACTATGAATGACTTAACTGTTGACATTAGAAAGTGTTGGCTGCAGGGCTGAGAATGAATACATAATGGATGTAGGATCAAACCTGGCCAACACGCTCTTTAACTCTGTTTATTTTTTTTTTGTAAAGAGATGAAAAGTTTGATGTATTTTGCACTTGTTCCTCAAAAAAGGAGAACATAAGGACTTTTCTGTATTCTTGAATGACTCGATCTCATTTTTATTATCACGCTCCATTCCTTCGACTTTGATGTAAAACAAAGCACTTGAAATGGATACAAAGATTTGAAAGCTTCACACACTCCTGGGGTTTGACTGTGCGGCGTGAGCTGTGTCGAGCACAGGGATCACCTGCACGACAACATGTCACATGCTCCACACGATGAGAACTGTCATTGGCAATTGTATTAGAATTAGCAGTGCAGTATTACGTGATGAAGCCTGTCAGCTGTAGATTCCAGATGTATTTGCTTACTTTATACTCCATGTTGGAGAATTGCCGTTATTTGGTCACTTTTCTAGACGACGAACTGTGACATATAGTATTTTATCTTAAACTCAATATTTATTTTGTTACTATACAGTATTTTTATTTGATTACTAAGAAGTTGGATACGTTAAACTAAGCTTTTCAATGTTTTAAAGGCATTACTTACATGCATCTTAGATTTTAATCTGTGGAATTTACTTCATTTAAAAAGTATTATATTCTCTAATGCTCCGCACATTGAGCAACACACATTTTAGATAGCAAGCTTTATGTTCTGTTGTAAAAATGGTACATGCAATAAGTAATTTAACAGAAATGATGTTATTATTGCTCTTAATCAACTGGCTGTGAAAATACCACTACAAAAGAAAGCCTATGTGACCTATACAACCCAATATTTCTTAAAATGGTAGTTAATGTGTATTCATTAAACATTGCTTGTATTGAATGTAATGTAGTAAGCAGGAGAGGATCTGAATACATGTATCCAATAATGGCTGAAGTTACTTTGAAATCTGAAATCCAGATGTTTGAGGCTAACTTTCTCACACTTTGATTAAGCATATATTGTAATGGAATCTATAGCTGCAACAGAGCACTCATATTCTCTGAGAACAACACTGCTGTCCAATGCTATTGCCTCTGACTTACAGACGTTAGTTGATTGGTGTTCAGGGCAGCTCTAGAGATGCCCGATAGAGTTTCGTTTGAATTTATTTCCTTTGTCTGTTTATCAGACACATTTGGGACCTGCTCTGTAGAACCTGACTCTGAATGCCGGTTGTTTTTCACAGTTGGTGTTGGAATTTATGCCTGACATGCCTTGGTTATTTTACAAAAATTGAATGTCAGAAATAAAAATGAACCATCCGTTCTGATCTCATGCTTTACTTGATTTGTATTTGGAGTATGTCTTGTCATTCATATTGCATATTGATTTAGTAGAATTCTTTTTGATTAGTTGTATTTACAAGCCTAATATTTACATATATTATTTTATACACAAAATATGATTATGTACTGTACATCAATTACATGGACCATATATTAATATAAAGTAGAACAAAGTGGTAAGGTTTATCCTCACAGACATTTCAGCAATTTAAATTCAGAAATTACAACCTGCATACATCTCTGTTTTATTCAGAATAATGTAATAGTTTATGATTTGTCCATCAGGTTATGTCTGCCTGTGCCTCAGTGAGCGTGTAGTTGGAGGAGTCAGACACAAGATGGCGCTGCTGTGTCGTTTTTAGTCTGAATGAGAAGCGATCCAAGAGCCTAACCGCGGCTCGTGAGACACACGCACACACACGAATATTTATATCACAGTATTGTAGAGACTCTTATAGTGGATTTTCATCGTGTTTCTCTTCATTCTGCTATATTGTTTTGTTTGTTCAATGGGATTGGCGCGCATTTTAAGATTTCTTTTTTTGTTTTCTTTTTTTTTCTTATGTTTTATATCTCCTTTTACGTTTCGAACATAACACTTCATTACATTTGATTATATGATATCCTCACTTCAGCTACCTTTTTATTGTATAAGCGATTTGTTATTTGAGTATTCTAGCAGCCTTTTTGATGTAAAAACCTGTAAGATCACAAGCACACCGCTGGTTGTTTTTACCTAATGGATATAAATGAACAAAAGTTTCAGGATCTTCATAAATCAATAATATCCCTTCCTTAAGGTTAAGCAGAAGGCTTGCATTTTTAAGTAATTAAAACAATTGTAAGTTTTTCCTTTTGCAGGAGAACTCATTAAAATGGCAAGCTCTTTAGATTCAATATTAGCTAATAGATTTTACACACATTTAAATTCCCATGAGAGCTTACACAGATAAATATGTATTTTTGAATGGTATAGGCCTAAATGTTTTAAGCCCACTCCGATCGATCGCAACACCAGAGCCCCCCCACACTCCTCCATTCACATGTATTTTTTCTTCAGCTGTGAACCCGATTGAATACTTGACGGGCTGATCCTCCACTGTGTCTTTCTCCCTCTATAAGCAGCAAACTGGAGCATAAAAGACTCCTATTCTCCATAATCAAGGTCAAGAGCGTTTTTCAATAACCTCTGGGAATTAAACGCTGGAACCGCGCCAGCTCGACCTGCCAATCATTTTCACAGCCAGCTGAATAATAAAAAAGTTTTTGACCTTTCTGCACCTCGACAGATCAATACACTGTAGCTTTATTTTATTAAACGAGTTCAAGGAATTATCTATTAATATTTGTATTTGTTTGGATTCCCTCTCGCCGTGATAAATTGTTTCAAATAACAGATGGCGCTTGAGGGAGAGACAAAGCAGGGAAATCTGGTAGCAATTATCCTCAATTATGTTCATTGTTATTTTGAGCTAATTATTGTTATTGTCACTTTTGTTTGTGCGTCTTGCGGCGCTAGTCTGCAATAAGCAGGCCCGAGGAAGACAATGGGGAGCAGGCATATGTTGTGACGATGAAATATGGCTTTTATAATGGAGCCTAACCAGTTGGTCTAAATAAAACTGAGATTTAAATGTACATGCTGAGATTTGAAGATTGCTTAAGTCTAATAATGACACCAGATAAAGAAAATATCAAATGTTTTTTTAAAGCAGTAAAATCCCGATTTTCTCTCAAACATAATTTGGTTAATGTGAATATATTGTAGAATAGAATATTGGAAAACAAAAGCAATATTCTCATGCATCCAATCAAAGATGCAACAAAATATTTGTGTACCTCTTCTTACTTATTTAATATTTTCATTAAACTTCATGTCTTGCGTAAAAGTAGGCTAGCTGTTTAAAGTAAGGAGTTGTGATTTTCTTGCAGCCGAATGTGTTCACCTACTGAAGAGCCACTGAGAGATGGGAGCTTATTGCAGCATCGTGAGCAGCCGACTCAAAGAAAGACACTTTCAAGGTCGGTTGTCAGTTCTGTGGTGCGCACAATAATTCATCTCCACATTTACAGAAAGAGATGTTTCTGTTAAAGCATCCCTTAAGGACAGAGAGCGGGATCCCGGCCCGGGAATAGGGGAGGACGGAGGAGAGGAGCTCCGTGGCCGCTGCATGGGGCGGACCTGACTCCACTCTCGCCTTTGTTTGGGGGCGTCTCCTCTCCTCTCCTCTCGCCCTGTCCCCTCCCCTCCTCTCCTCCGGTCCCCTCCTCTCTTTCCTTTCCCATCCTACCTCCCTCTCTCTCCCCCCGGGGCGGGAGAAGCCCGTGTTTGGTTCTCAGAGAGAGTCCTTTGGGAAGAGTCACAGAGCGTTTTCCTCACACAGAGAGAGCACAGAGCAGAGCTCGGGACTCATCCGCAGGACGCAGCACTGCCCCGGACACACACACCACCGACACGTCCCAGACCATTGGGCTGAGGGAGGAGAAGAGAGAGCAAAGTGCGAAAAGAAGGAGAAAGAAGTGTCAGATAAGGATGACACCTGATCTGGGTGCCAGTTGATCTCTTTTTTTCTGTCTGACAGCTTCAACTGTGGATCTCCGAGCGCAAGGAGTGACTTTTCAACATCTGTTCACACTGGGACTGGCCGCGATTTTTTGACATTTTGGATTCTACTCCAGTATGATTCACCCTACGTCTTAGTACACACGAGGACTAGAATTGCATGAATTATCACACGACTGCTTGATTTGTAGCGAGGCTCACAGCCGCAGCAAAGCGCAACCACGTTGCTCCTCTTGAATCAGAGTGAAGGATCTACAGGAGAACAAGTGCACAGTCCGCTGAGGAGAGACCGGGAAACAGAAGGAGAGGCACCGAGCTGTGGAGATTTGTTCATGTTTGGGATCCAGGAGAGCATCCAGCGCAGCGGCAGCAGCCTGAAAGAGGAGCCGCTGGGAGGCATGAACTCTGTCCGGAGCTGGATGCAGGGGGGCGGCGTGCTGGACGCCAACACGGCCGCCCAAAGGTGAGCTCTTCTCGGGTGGAGGAGACCTGCTACCACCCTGCCTTATTTACCGAAACATGGAACAACGTGTTTCTTCTGTCAGGACCCTGCTGCAGCCACCCGTGCAGGACACGATGCTGGGTTTATGGGAGCTGCTGTCCGGAGGAAGAGATTGGGATTTAACTAATGATACGATAATTAATTAAACTAAGATTATTTTTGCAGCATTTAAAAAAAGAATTTTAATGTATAATTTTAGGAGACCGTATTTAACAGTTAATGGCAACATGTGTTTGTAGGCTAGGCTACTACAGATTTTTACGCACACACACCCCGAGCCTTCTGTTCATAGTTGGCTGATGTTTAATTAACATAAAGGCAAAGTGGCGAAGTAATAATTCTAGTGCTATACTTTGGGTTAAAAATGGATTTAAAATAAATTATCAAACAATCATAATCATGGCTTATTAAGGAGGAACATGATTCTCAAATTGGTCCTCAGGGATGTAAAGGTGGATAAATCATGACCCCTGTCTCAGATTGTCATGAGAAAATCAGACTTCAACACATTTTGTTATTATTTCAGAAAATCATACATTTTTTATTTGTTTTTAATAAATTAACTTTCAGTAATAAACACAACTCAAGACGATACAATATATAGTAGCCTATTATGTTGTCGCTGCGTTAATTAGGTCCTATAATTTATTAATATTTATTTTTTTACCTTACAAATGTCAAACTTTAAAGCTTCTAACACCGACTCCTCCACGCATGTTTGTCCGCAGTGGAGTGGGTCTGGCCCGGGCTCACTTCGAGAAGCAGCCGCCCTCCAACCTGCGTAAATCCAACTTCTTCCACTTCGTCCTGGCTCTGTACGACCGGCAGGGTCAGCCGGTGGAGATCGAGAGGACCAACTTCGTGGGCTTCGTGGAGAAAGAGAAGGTCGGTGCAGAAACTCTCGGTGTTTGATCATTTCGTCTAATATATTATATTCTTGAGGGTAATTTACCATTTCGAATCCCTAAAGGCCTGATTATAGTGATGTGTGATGTTTTTATGTCATTGTTAATACAACATGTACATTTACACTAACTCATCAATACCAAATGTGCTCAATTTTGTATTATAATAATACATAATTAGTTACAATTAACAATAGGCTACTATTATTATGTTCAGCTTTTTAAATATAATTAGACAAAGAATAAACACAATCTACATTCAGGCCTACTTTAACCTAGAACTTTCTTCGATCTATTTGTAATAATTGACAAATAAGAAAACGCGTCTAGAAATGTAAATAGTTTTAATTTAGAGCTGGTTCACCACGAACACTTGTTCTGTATAAACAACGGCGGGGAAACGGGTCTCCTCATCAATTATGACACCGTTTAAATGAGCTGAAATGCACTGGGAGAATGTAGTGTTGGATTTATTGGCCTTCCAAACATAACCAGTAATTACAGAGGAATTAAAGAGCCACAATAACACAATGATTACACTGTGAGAAATTACAGTGCTGCCCTGCTTTAATATGTTCGCTGTGAACATAAATCTTGTTTATTTAACGTATGACCTGAGCTATTCAATAACTTGGATGTTCACTTCAGGGGCCTACATGTGCAGGGATGTGCTTTTTTAAAATGTGTCCTAAAAATGTCAATAAACAGCTCGGTTTGTGTTGTGTTTGTTAAGGAGACGACCGGAGAGAAGACCAATAACGGGATTCATTACCGGCTGCAGCTTCTGTACAGTAACGGTGAGTGAGGAACACACACTCAGAAAGTTACCCATGATACATCTGACAGAAACAGATAGATTGCTTGTTGTCCCCTGCTACATGATACACAGACTGCACACAGGAAGCAGCTGATTTAAAAAAAAAAAAGATTTAATGTGGAAAATTGCGCAGTGGGCCAAAAGGCTGTGTTTATGTCACTGAAACTGCAGTGACGTTTTTTTCACAATCCTGTGATTTAAACTGAT